CATACATAAAAAATCAGAAACTTGCAAAATTGCAGATTATTGCATAATTTTGTAAAAAATAAAAAGCAGAAATCTGCAAAATCGCAGACTTCCGCATAAATTCACAAAAAAAATGCGGAGATCTGCTAATTTTACAGATCTCCGCAGTTTTGCATCTTAAAAAATTTCCCGATGAATGCAAAGTTAAATGTACCATTAATATCTGTTGATGGTAGGATTGGCATATTGCGAGTTTTAAATAGTATATTATATCTGTAGATATACTCTATTCCATCATCTTCACTAAAGTTACCATCTCCGAATAATCCCTCAAGGTAAGAATCTAAACGTCTTATTGTGGCAAATATTCCAATTCTTACCTTTATTGATCCCAATCGATTTCTTTCATCCTGAAGAATATTCTGGATTGTTTGACTGTGTGCTATAAGAAATGAAGCATAGTCATGCTTTTTAGGTGTCCCTACTGCAATATCGGCCGTAAAGTTTGAGTCTGTTAACTCCTTTCCTATACGTACCTGATCACGACATTCAAAGACTACCTCATAATGTGGGTCTAGGTCAATTTGCATCATGCGGGTTATCTCTTTATTGGTTACCGCCGCTTGTGCTTCACGGATTTGGCAGATCTCATCCTCATATTCCTGCAATTTTGCATTTGAGCGGGGATATAGGATGGACTTGACAGGTACTTGCTTGAGTTCAGCTAAAACTGATCGGACAACTTGTCTGTGTTGGGCACTTTTTGCTTGATGTGTTGACATCTTGTATACTTTTTAGGTCCCTCTTTTATTCAATTACATTTTTTCTGAAAATAAAATTAATTGTTCGCCTACCCTATAAGGACAAAAAAAGATGAAGACAGGTTAATATTGCCTTCTAAAATTTATCTGGATATAATCTATTCCTCGTCATCTGAGTCATCGTCATCCGAGTCACCGAACACATCCTCATCAGGAGTATTATCCCCATCCTTAAATAACTCAAAATTGCGCATCATTCGGATGTATTCTCCCTTATTAGTTTCTTCCAATATAAAACTATAATGGAGAATAGCTTGTTCTATGACTACTATTTCTACAAACCTGGTATACTTTTCTTGACTAATTTTAGTTAATTCATTGGTAAGTTTATCGAGATTTATACCACCATCTGCACAATCTCGCCAGTAAGCCCTTTCAGCTTTTTTACATATATTTGCCACCTGTTTGTATGCCTCTTCGACTTGCATGCGTCGCTTCCAGAGTACTCGTTCAGCTTTGGCTCTCCAGATTGGGTTGACTTTTAGAAGATGCAGTCCGAAATTGCTACTTGGAATGCATTCCAGGATATGCCTACAAGTTCAGGAATTACTGATACTGCATGCGGGATTTGGTGGCTTTTTAGGATCTTCCTATTGATAGCTATAAGATCGGAGACTGTGCAGCTGAAGATTGTTGCCAGCTTTTCAGCGGTATATGTCATGTTATGTACTATTTATCTGTATAGTTACTTGGTACCTACCTTTTATTCAATTACAGTTTTTCTCGGTATAAGGAAAATTGCTTGCCTTGCTATTCCGCTCTATTGACTCCATGGCTGGTTTCCTGGATGGGTTAATATTTCCTTATCTTTTTTGGCTCCATTGGCTTTGAAATCCTATTTCTTGTTCGGTTGGAGGTAAGTAGGTGAAAATATAAATAGGTGATTTAGATTATGAAATAAGTAGGATATAAGTGAATTAGATTATGAGATAAGTAGGATATAAGTAGGTAAAATTGGTGATTTAGGTTATAAAAAAAGTAGGATATAAGTAGGTGAAAATATTAATAAATGATTTAGATTATAAGATAAGTAGGTGAACCAGAATTGGAGTTTTCATACTACTGCAGGTGGCCGTTCTGATTGCGGTAAATTTTCAGTCACCCCTGTCTTCTTGTATTTGTCAATAAATCTATGTATTGTGGTAGGGTCACGCCCCATTTTTCTTGCTATTTGTGCAGGGTTAAAATTTTCCATATATGCTAGTATTTTTCCTTTCTCCAGAGGAGATAATTCGGTATAATGTGACATGATTTTTTAACCGTGCAACGCGTTCATCAGGTCATAAAATTATGAGAAAAACATTTAAAATAATAAAAAATAGGGGTATAAATAATTTAAATTGAGTGTATCATTACACAACGAAAAATCAGGCGATACTTTCTGAGGTGACTGTATCTATATTTAAATAAGTAATATAAACAAATTGTTTATTTACATAATATTAAAATTTGTCATCCGGTTGTTGATCATTTTTGGCTAACAAAAATATTATTCAGTTTTCACATGATTTGCTAAAAATTTTATCCCACAATTTTAAGCAAGAAAGAACATTATATAAAAGTGCAATATCACCTTATGGGTGGGTGGGTGGCGCGTCACATTATTGTAATAACTTGAAATGATTGACATGTCATGATAGGTTAACGTTAACTTAACGTTAACATAAGATTAGTTTTTGAGTGATTTCCATTTTAAGATGCTGATTCCCCATCTTTGGTATTGATTTGCTGATTATATAAATACATTTCAAATCAAGCTTTTCTATTTTAGTACGATCAGCAACTAACAAATCTTTTAGTGTTTTAACGATATACAGTATATGTAAATATTGTTACCAACATGTTTATGCCACATGTATATTGTAATAAATAATCGTTACCAAAAAATTTACAATTATTTATCCAATTTTAGAATATCTATCATCTAACAATGTATGAATAACACGTTGAACAGAAATTGATTAGTCGGCTGTACGAATTATGAAACTTTCAACGAAACAGATTTGGAAATAAAAAATATATACTTACAAAATTACTCCCAGAGTCTAGTGTCATCATTATCCAAGAATTTTCAGTTTACGCTTTTCTCCAAAATTGTGAATACAATTCACAGAATGTCTGTCATTATTACCCAAGAATTACAGTTTACGCCTAAAACAAATTGATGAGACTTGTGGTCTGAACTTTCTACATATGGTAAGGATAATTAGTAAGAACTCATGAATGTATGTATTTTGAATAAGTAATGCGTACCTGTTGCTTTGGACAGAGCTCAAGTTACACTCAAAGTTAATATTATACCAAAAAGCCAGGTGCTCCATATATTCTGTCAAACAATCCCTGATCAATAAATTGCATATGAGTTCCAATGGCCACATACAGAATATATCTTTTTGAGATAGAGTCGTATCAATTGTGTTTTTCAAATTCACTTGACAAAATGTTCACTTGTTGTAGTTGTATGATATCGAAGTGAACATAGTATAACCAAGTAGAATGAGACGGTACTAATATAACTGTGTTTTGATGATCGCCTAATTATACGTAATTACACTTACCAAATATTTTTGATATGACAATGTCATTAGTAATGGTTTAGGTCCATGACCGTAAACACTTCATATCAAGTAACTAGATTAGTGAAGCGAGTCCATCAAAATACCTGAAGGTAACTCCAGAGAAAT